CGGCCATATCCGGGTAGAACTGCTTGTCCCAAGATGAAAAGAGGGACGTGGACACGTAAAGGCGCTTGCCATCCTAGGTGCAAAGATGTGCAAAGGCACCACGGAACGAGACTGTGTGACTCCCTCAGACCTCCCTCAGCTGAAAAATCGCAAAAGCAAAACTTCGCTACCGAGCGCGAGTCCAGGGAGAGCTGGACCATCTGGGCCCCACCTGTCCGCATCACGACTTGACTAGACACTGGCTAAGGCCATGAGCCTCGATATGCCTCGACATGAGTTTCTCACATTTCGGGAGCCCAGCGCCTTGCACCTCCACACCTTTCACGACCAGCGGCTCGGGCTGAGACTCGCCGTCCTTGCGAGTGACGGAGCCTCCGCGCTTCATTGAGCCACCGACGAAGAATTGGCCGACGAGCTTCGGCTCCTCACCGGTGATGTCGTACTGGCGGACGTCGCCGTGGAGCCAGTTGGAGAGGAAGATGAAGCGGTCGTCCATGGAGATCAGGAAGTCTGTGATGAGGCCTGGCATTTCCGGCAAGGCCCAGCCTTCCACCGGTATGGGATCCACCTTGATTACCGTCTTGGCCTCCCAGTGACCCGACTCCGTTTTCCTGAATCGCACCATCTCCGAGCTGAGAGCACAGCCCGTGTAGCCCTCTGCTTTGTCGGGGTCATGCAGGAAGCGAACCTCCAGAGGAATGGAGCCGGCTCCCACATCCAACTCCTGCTTCAGGGTGCGATCGGTCCAATCCCAGAAATAGAGTTTGCTGCCGTAGCGTCCTTCACCGACGTGGGCAGGATTGAAGCCCTTCGTGAAGCATGCCGGGTCCCCCCACTCCGAGGAGACCATCACGTTATGTCGCGGCTGGTACCAGAAGTCGTATCCGAAGCGTGTCGGGTTCTCTGGAGCTTCCCAGCGCTGCTTGATCTCAAAGGTCTTGGGGTCGAAGCACACAAAGCCTGCACCATTAGGCTCGAACCCCTGCTTCGCGGTACCACTGCCCATGAATGACATGATGATCTCGTCCGGCGCGCAGTGTGCGGTGTGCGGCAGCGCAGCACCAGTCTTGGCCAAAATCTCAGCCCCTGGAATGGTTTTGTGAAGCTTGGGTGCACGCGGGTCTGACCGCACATCGATGATGTGAATGTTGCCAGACAGCACACCGGGAGCAATGATGAAGGAGTGCGTGGGCCGTCCCACCTGCCCGCGGCAACTAGAGCAGGCATTCCAGCCGAGGTGATGTAACTCGTCGCCTGGCTCTGCCATGTGCAGTCGGTGAATCACCTGGCAGTAGCTCGGGCTGTTTGGGTTCACATCTACCGTTGCCAAATAGTCTGGCTTTAGCCCCTTCTCCATCTGCACCGCAGGAATGTACAAGAGTTCCTCCACCACACCCGCATTCTTGGCCTCCAAGGGCGACCCGAACCCCATTCCCTTGCAGCAAGTGCCAACTTTCGTCTGGTCGCTCGACGACTCTTTTCGACGCTCCAGCAATGTGGGAGCAAGGCGCGACTCGGTGCTCTCGCCGCCGGAAGCCATCCTAACCGTGGCGACCGTGAGGAAATTAAATTGAGAGCTTAAAAAGACTTGAGTCTGTATGGCTGGTCGCACGACAAACAGCATCACGTGGTTGCAGCGGAATCTTGCCCGGCAGGCGGAACTTGTTTATGTTTATGGACTATGGACGCAATATCCCAGAGTTGGGTGCTGCAGAAGCACGTGGATGGCTCATAAGCTCAAGTCGATGTACTTCGGCCCAGAGAAAACGCAGATGCTGGTTCCACTTCCGACTTTGGGTGCAATTCGCTACCGGGACGGCAGCCCAGTCTCGCCCGAGTTCTGCAGCCCACGATCACTTCGGCATGGCAGCAGCCAGTGCTTCAATTTCAGTCTTCTGCATTACAGAGTTTTGCATGTCTGCATCCCTACGTCGCAAACTCCACTGCACTAATCCTCCGGACGCCTTTCGATCAGAACCGTTAGCAGTAGGGTCCACCCACGGCAAATTATGTCAGACATAAGCGTGCCATAGGCAAGCATCTTGACGTCATAACCCTTCCAGCCTAGGGGCTGCATTCGTCGTCAAGCCGCCAACATAGGTCCCCAACTTCGGATGGTTACGAACCTCAGGACGTGTCGCCTGCAACCTCACCCTTTGTAACAACACTTGAACCATAGACTTAGATACGCAGCCGAGCAAATGCGAATTCCTGACCTAGAGTGAATTTCAAGACCATTGTACTAATAAACTTGGAAGATTGATCCGGCAGCACAGTGAAGTGTGTCGCGATGGCCACGATACACCGGTAACCACTTTGGATGCCCCAAATTCAGTCCATTCTCGTCACCCTGACGACAACCCTGCAGCTGTCGCATGGCGAAGGCCCAAGCTTCTTTCGAGTCGAACACGCTACAAGTAGTCTCACACCAAGACGCCCATGCGTGCGATTCTAACGAAATCCTTCTGCTTACGTATTGTGGGCCACTAGCTTTCCCATGCCAGCCGCGACGCCGTCAGCTTCGCCGGCTTGTCCGTCAAAGGTACAAGCAGATCACGGATCTGCTCCTCAAACACGTCGGTGCGGTTTCAGACCGGCCATATCCAGAAGTATCCAGAAGTTGTTGACTAGTTATTGAGTCGGCATGCCGAGTCAACTTGCTTGAATATGCATGCTTGCGCTGCTGCTGTCCGTCTAGACACGAAATGGAAGATGGATCAAGCTCTGCTCAGGCACTCTTTGCTAAGATGCTGCTAAGCCGCGTTGTAGATCTCAAGGTAGGACACCTGCATTCTTAACTGCGAGCCTCGCTTGTCCTTTTTGCTACTACTAACATCGCCATGCCACGCCTGACACTGGAACTGGACCTTCGCATCCTTTGCGCCGCGCATGGTCTCGATGCGCCGGAAGAGCTCCAGAAGGATTCGCCTCCAAAAGCGGCGCGCAAGCAAATTTTGAAGCCCTCTGCAACCAAGTGGAGTCATGCGACTGTACGTGGCGAGCCACACAATTAACAGGGATAGCTTCATGAGCTGTGCTTCTGTGGGGCATGGACACTCCCAGCTCATGGCCAGTGGCGGAAGGAGCCCTCGATTTTCGGGTTGATCGTCGGCGCCTTGCCGGTTTGCACAGGTCTCTGAGAAGCTTCTCACAGCTGCGGTGCGCCCAATCTCAAGCGTCGAGGCACCGAGCACCGAGTGGGTCTTCCCCGAACCCGTCTGCCCATAGGCGAAGAGGCAGTTGTTGAAGCCGTCCATGGCGTTATCCAGAATCGCTTCACCTCGGGCCGATCAACGGTGACCCGCGCAGCGCTCTTTTAGGGACGTGTATCTTCAGAGCTCGACTGCCAAGATCGTTTGGCAGTCGAGAAGCTACTAACCAAGTATCCATTGGGCATAGGGCGTGGTTCCATGCCGATCTTTCAAAATGTTCGCATGACTCTTCCGCACTCCAATTTCTGCGAGATCTGAAAGTTCTGAAGGATATCTTGCTGCTGCTGCTGTCGACCTTGAAATCCTTCCTTCGAAAGCACTGGAGCTTGAACGGCCCTCGTAAGGCCGCCGCCGAGTTCATCCTGAGTGCGACGATTTGTGTGGTTCTTCGGTTTTCTTCTGATTTCAGTCTGGTGAGTCCGCGTCGGTATGTCACCATTGCACCTAGACGGCCAAGCTGAGGTGTCACTGACGAGTAAGTGCAGGGCCATCAAAGTCTGCTGCGTGGCACCTTGGCAAAGGGGCCACAAGCCACTTAGTGCATCGCAATGACAAGACAAGACAAGACAAGACAAGACAAGACAAGACAAGACAAGACAAGACAAGACAAGAGGCATGTAACTGTCTTGACAAGAGAAGAGGGCTTCGACTGTGTTCTGGCCGAAGCACAGCTTGGATGGCTATCGTCGCAGGACCAATAAGCGCGGTCCTCAGAACACCCCAGAAACGGCGGCTGAGATTATACAGTAGTTCTAGTCCATTGCCCTCGTCATGGCAACACCTGAATTGATTCCAAAGCGTCAAGGCCACGTAAGATTCAAACGGTAATGGAAGGCTGTGCGGAATCCAACCACTGCTCCAGACCTCTCTGGCTTACCATCAAACTGTTTCGCTTTATAAGCCAAGGTTCGTAGTCAAACACACGCACGGACGACATGTGCTCCTGGCCTGTCACCAACAACACAGCTGCCCCACAGCGCAAATTCGCCAAATACTCAGCCCGGTGCAGTCATCCAAAGTGACTTGGGAATCGCCAGGCATCTGGACCTTTAACCAGCCATGTAGCCAGCGGATGATGCATTTGCTGCTGGGACTTCAAGCTCTGTTTGGAATCTTGGGAGCATACACAGCATCTCTCTCCATGCTCGCGCTCCAGGAATGGTCTCACCCGGACACCTACCAGCAAAATGGTTGCTGACAAAAATCTGTCATAACATCGTAAGGTCGAAGGAGTTGCATCAAGGGATGTGGAACATGCCGAGATTTGGCCACTTGCAGAAGGTCTTCATGGGAAGGGTCTGCTTGAGCAAAGACTGACCAAGGTGACTAACTCAGGCTTCTGACGCAAGAAAGTCTCACATGTCTCACTCCAAAATTATCTGACGAGCGAAACCCAGAAATGCTCCACCATGCCACAGACTTTGATGTTGCCGGAAGCAGTGCTTGCATGGCAGATGGTTTTCCTCTTCGACATGGCGCCAAGAGCTCAAGCCGCATTTACAACCTTTTACAACGCTTTGGGCTTGGGGCTACAGGGTTGGGGTATGTCGGGCACAGGATCCCTCTTTAGTTCTATCATCGCCAGGTACACAATGCTAGGCCTGCTAGGCCCCGAGGCCAAGGGTTGAGTTCCGGCCCTCGGTTCACCTTAACCGCGACCCCCTGCAAGGCAGAAATGAGCTGCGGCATCGGCCGAGAAGCGCAGCTGAAACGGGCCATATCCATGTCTATGCTGTTGTGTTGCACCCTCGAGCCGTACTTCTCACAGCACAGTAGCACAGCGGGGACCTTCTCTGCCTTGCCACTTGCCTCCCATGCGTGCAACTGAGGTATCGGGAGCTTCTCAACCTGGGCTCCAAGGAACGGCCTGCGAGAGCCAGGATCGGGGCACGTACCTGTCATCCGTTTGCGCTTTCCAGCGACAGTCTTCCGTTCATCCCAAGCTGCCATGGACAGCACTTCAAGCGGCAAGGGATGCGCAGCATGGCTCCATGAAGCCTGGGGCCCTCCGAGCCTAGGGTTCTGGCCTCACGGTTTGTGCTCGAATTCAACAAGCCAGCAGCCAGCTTGCATCGATTTTTAAAGTCTTGCCGACAGAGCAGGCGACTCAGTCGGCTTCGGATACAACGACCAAGAGACAGGAGCGCACATGCATGTTCCCCAGCTGTTGCTTGAAAAGCTCCGCCTCGGCCTCTCGTGGGTCATCCCCAGTAAACGATAAAAACTAGGCAAACGCAAGTGCAAGGCCTAGCAAGAAACAGCTGGGGCCTCGCATCAATCTTTGTACAACTGAGGGAAATGCACTGTCACAACTGCTACAGTGAATCCTACTGCCATCCCACACAAGCTGATGCTGACTCAATTCACTGAATGCTGAGCACACCACCAACACGTGTTGATAAGGACTCTGCGAACCCTTCCGGCGTTGCTTTGTGACGGATGGCACTACAGACATGATAAGATACATGATAAGAAGCTTACAGCACCAAGCTCACACATCAGCTGGAGAGCGCTAATCACAAACGCCACACCTCTGGCCAACAGACATCTGGCTACGAAGTCGTTGTCGGTGCAGGAGTTACTGGGTTACGACAGCTGCAGCATTCGCAGAGAAGCAAAGCAGTTGTTGAGCTTGCTCGACACGAGTGCCATGGCAATGAAGCGAGCATCTGCTTCGTCATATCAGCCCTGCTCTGGCACAGGCGATGAGACCTCGTCATTACTTACATGTGCAGCATACCAATCTTGTTCGTGCTCTCCTGCGCACACCCGCCGTGCCATTTGCTTGCTACATGGCTGTGGAACTAGGTGACGACCTGGCAGTGCTGGCCCCGGTTTTTGCTCATGCTTCGAATTCGGACACGCGACAGCTCCCCACAAAAAACCTGCCAGAACCTGTGAATCGAAATCCGATAATGCATAAGAAGTCTCCTGATGGCATCGCGCACCGGGAGGGAGCCGGCGCCGCACTCCGCTGGAACGCACAAACCTTGGAGTCATCGTATGCCGTCCCGCAATCCACAAGTAAGATCGCCTTCAAAAAACAGCGGCTCCGATTCATGGTGAAGGTCACAGGATCTTTGGAAGATTTTCATCTAGCTGGCTTCTCAGTGCAACCTGAGCCACACTCAGGACAAGATCACTCAGTCAAGCCAGGAATTCTCGGTGCCTCCTGGAGACTGTAGCCAGCGCTGCAGACGGCAGGATCATAGTACCAAAACGTTGGTCCTGCTATCATCAAGAAATTCGCATGGAGCCATCTCGTGCAGAGATGTCGGACGCACAAACGACATGGTGCCTTCCATCCACGTCACGCCGCCATCGAAGGACAGGCTGAGTGTCACGGGTCTCAGAGGATTGGCAAGATTTGAACAACTGGCTTCGATCCCGATTCAGCACCATAAGATGAATTTCAGCTGAATCACCCGGCCGGATGCGCAGGCGCAACACATCTGAGCCTGGGCCATGTGCATCCACGTGCAAAAGGCGTGCATGCCTCAAGAACCATGCCATTTGCATGCTGGCAGATCAAGGCATTTCGCAGCCTCAAGCAAGGAAGTGCCGGTGGGGTCACCACTTTTGTGAAGCCGGTTGCGTCGCGGCTTTTCCGTGATTCGGGCTGTTCTTGCATCGCGTCCGTCTGTGCGTGACGAAACTGATGACGAAACTGAAGCCTCGAGTCGGACGGCACGAGTGGGCTGCGCGGCTCACTGGGGGGGAGGAACTGCCTGGCCTGGTGGAGTTTGCGCTAAGGGTTGTCGACTTGTGTGTACGATCTGAATCGATACAAACATGCGAATGCGTACTGCAATCCCTCCGCCGTGAGTTTGGACTTGTAAATCATGTCAAGTCTACGAATCAACGCAACTGTTGCCAGAAAGGAATGCACTGCACCAAGACAAACTCGAAGACAACACTCGTGCCTGTTTTGCAAAGATGTTTAAAAAGCCAGGACAGAAAAAGTGTAAACGAGTGCCAACACTGATGCTAAGGCTGCGTGCAGCCGCCTGACCTGTGTGCATGTGCGAAGCAGCACTCTTGCAATAATATGAACGGTCATATGTCATCATTTGACGGCGCGGCTCAGAAGGACATGCCTGCATTTGCATGGAAACGCATGAACGAAGCGAGAACTGTACAGAGATTTCAGGAAGGCTGGCTGGGTGTGCCAAGCAGCTCTGACACTCCTCCTTCGATACCATCATCCTCTATGCTGGCACTGGTCACCTAGTCGGCGTGCGGAACCGATCATTTGACACTGGTCCCGACTGCGTAAGAGTCACGAACAAGAGCCTCCGTTGTGACAAAGCGACCACCCGAACTAGGCCTTGCCATAAGCCTGCTTGCTATTGCTTCGCCCACACAGGCTGCTTTCGGCCAAGAATCCACACGACCGAACCGGCAGGCTGCTCGATCTGTGTCAGGAAAGCGCTCCTTGTGCCGAGGTGAACAACTGCAAGGGGTTTTGCTCAAATTTGGAACGCCTTGGTCTGAAGAGCTATCGGTTCGATCCGTCTTGGAGTGGTAAGGCTAGCAGCACGGCAACTCTTGAATTTGCCCGAAGATGCCCCAAGTCCTTTCACTCACCCCCACGCTCAACGGAGCGAAGTTCTACGAGGCAAAGTAGACAAGAGTGAGCCCTTGCCACATCCATATGTTCTGCAATCGCATTGGCCCAGCGGCACCCAAGATATGGACAATCCGGCCGCCGTCAACGCTGCAATGCTTGGGAAAGCAGGTCAGTTGCTGCTGTTCCTCCATCTCCACAATCAACCTGGATTGCACAAGTTCTGAAGGGTCTCGGGTCCTGGCTTTGTTTATGCCTCGTCGAGCCTGCGATATCCGCAATCAACCTTGCTACCTTCCCATAAACGGCGCTGCCGAATACCCTCGCCCGAAACCTTATGTCTGTTGTAGCCAGACTGTGATGCCAATGGTCTCGAGACGATCACTTGGTGCAAACGTGCTGTGGGTGGAGGGGCAGGTCTTTGGTTTACACATTGTGTGAACCAAAGATTAAAGCGAAGCATACACTGCAAATTCACATGCATAGTACAGGGTGCATGTCAAACGCTGCCGTCGCCCCGCGAACGCTCGGCGCCCAGCTGTCCCAGGTCCCCGACGGCAGCGTCGCCACGCTCGCCACATGCAGACCTTAGCCTCGCGCCGCCAGCACCCCGACAACACACAATCCTTGGCACGAAGGCGCGCGCATCCCCAGCGCCAACGTTCTTCGCCCCGTTCCCACGGGGCCACGTGGTGTCACCGCTCGCGTCTCAGACAGGCCTAGTCCACACGGTCCCGTGGGGACGCTTCCCGTTAGAAGGGCTTCCCTGTCGGAAACGTTCGGAAGTGAACGCTGCCCGCGGCAAGAAGCCAACCGCCGAGAATTTTTGGAAAACAATGACAAACACTGCACATCATGTCAAACTTCCACGCAAACTCCACCATCACGAGCATGCAAGCAATGTCATGTGTGCTGTTGTACCTTTAAATCATTTAAACGTGTGCCCTGAAGGGCGCTGTGACCATGCCATGCAACGAAGCCAAGCAGTGGACCACGGCGTCTTTCTTGATCCCAATCTCGCCTGGTTGCGTGTCTTGGGCTCTGCAGCATGTATTGTGGTACAGTACAAGCGTGTAAGTTTTAGTTTACGCCAGACACTCAGATCAACGCTCGGAACTACCTCGTCGGAGGATGTCGGAGGCTCAGTGGAGTTACCCGTGCAAATTCTAGGGGCTCTGAGCGTTCCAAAGGCACCCTGTAAGCTCCGGCCTGAAGAGTTCAACAGCTCTCGATCGAAAGCCATCTGCCGCCGAAATGCTCAGGGCTCTCTGACTCTCGTCCACAGCGATGATCTGGCCACTGAAGATAAGCTGGAGCGAGAACTTGCCGCTCCGCTTCTCCGTCGCAGAGCCTTCCTTGGCCAGCAAAGAATCGCATCTGAGAAGCCTCATCTTGGGCTTTGGGCCCATTCCAAGCCTCGCCTCGGAAAGCCGACGTTCGATGAGCTCGCGGAGCTCAAGCCTGGGCCCGGCGGAGGCCACAGCTATCGCCGAGCTAGCCATACGAGTAGCATCACGGAAGGAGGAGACATGCAACGCACATAATGCACATATGAGGAGCTCCCGAAAACTGCAAAAAGCCGCCTTATAAGCCTCGATGCACGCTGGTGGTCTCCTCGACCCATATCCGCAGAATCCGCTCCTGCTTCGTCACTTTGGCAGGCTTTTCGCGGACGTTGACTCGCACCCACATGGCACATGCAGGCTCACGCTGCGTCCTAAAAGCTATGCTTCCGACTCGCCGGTCATGTCGCTTGATGTCGCTTGCAGATTGCCAGACAATCATTTGCCCTGGTCATGTCTACTTGGGCCTAGCCAACATTGTTGCGTGAGCCTCAAAGGTCATATGCGGCACCGGCCGTTCAAGGCACAGCTATGCATGCAGCTGCAAGTGAGCAGAAGTACAGCCTGCTTAGAACCTCTCGCTTCACAGCATTGCATCACAGCGAGGCTCAGCGCTCACCAGGCACAGGCACCGCAGAGGCACGCAACCCGGACCTGAATCGCACGACGAAACAGCGGCTTACGGCAGCGAGAGAGAGCAGGAGAAGGGGAGAGAGATGGAGGGGGAGCTTGAAAGATAAAGGAGTCTGCGACGAGGCCTTAACAGGCTATCTTGCCACCGCTGTCTGGTTTGCACCGGGTAGTTGCTAGGCTAGAATAAGAGTGCCCGGTCGACAGGTGTCAATGGTGCGGCTATTTGGCTGGGGTCTTTCGGGATCGGACCTTTCTTTGGTTTCAGGGTCGCTGGCTACTTGGAATCCAAAATTCGGCTCGTCCTGACTGAGCAACCAGCGGCACCCCGACACCGAGACCAGGCTGAATGACGGAGGTCTTCCTTCACGGATCAGCCGAATTCAAACATCAACAAATGAACAACCTCTTTGATTCGAAGCACGTGTCATGTGGTGGCAACTGTCAATAGCTTGAAACACGGAGATCTGATGCTGTGCTGTTGAAGACACATCACACCTAGATGTGTAGAGGTGCTGTGCGACACGGCCTGCCACGAGGCCACGGCACGGACAACGTCTGGGCGAAGGGCTGCCACCTAAAGTCAGTCGCCGCAAAGGGCTTAATGACCGACCTTCGAATCCTAGGCTGACTGCCACCAAGGACCCAGCTGACCCTGGCTAGCACTGAAGAATCATGGCGCCACGCACATACATGTCTGCAACGCCAAAAATTGCAGATGTTCGTAGCTACCACCACTTTGCTGCAGCCGTGATCCCTCTGCATTACTGCAGGATCTTGCCCGAGCCGGGCACAAGGAGCTGTGAGCTCAGGTATGACAAAGCCGAATACACGGCCTCGAGCATACGGCTTCTTGCAGTTCTACCTCCTCGTTTGTTGAGACTGCCACTCACAAGCAAATCTTGCTGATCCATAGACTCTTGCATGTCTCGCACTGCAACCATGGGTCTCTTTTTTGATTGAGAGAGACTGTCTAGCAAAATCGCAAGACATGGAAACATGAACAAGTTCTCACTCGAACTGCATCTCCCCAACAATGCCCCACTGACATATGTGTCCGGTCTTCCGTGAAGGCCCTCAAGATGAGAAACACATCTCCTCACGAAGGACCCTTGCATGTCCGAGAGGCCAGTCGGTACGTCTCTGACAGGAGCGCCAGCACTGCAGCTACGGCGAGTCCTCCCAATTTAGGAAACTGCAGAAACCCAGCTCTGGGCTGACGAACCTCATCGAAATCATGCTCGAACCACAAGCGCTCCTCCCCTGCGGCCCATGGCGCGCTCACCTCATCGAGACATGGACGTTGTGCTGACCCGATTCTTGGTAGCCCCGGCCTCCCAGAGAGCCTCCGCGATCCGGCACCTGAACGCAGAGGCTTGTGATTCTGTGCTCATGGCGACCAGGTGTTCGGGCTTTAAGTTTGTTTCAGCCATTCTGCCCCAGCTCGTCACGATCACTTCATGGCTTCGTCGGGCCTCAGCTACTGTGTTAAAGCGAATGCAGGGCCTTCGTGTAGCCATCGACAAAAAGCACCAGACCTGCCATGTCCAAATCCCCAAAGCCCGCTGTGTCGCGGAAGCTGCAAGGACTCGCAAAGCGACAGGCAAGAAGGCTGCCTGTTACAGCAGGCAGCGGCTTTTTCGGCAACGTCACAAAGCCCGACCCCAGTGAGACTTGATGACACTGGTGGCCATGAGTGTGCATTGGAGATCCGCAGCTCCCCTAATTTCTACCAGTCCTGTGGAGTCAGCTTCAGCATGACTTCGTTGCATCACAAGCTGCATTTTACTGCCTACGTCGTAAACGATCTCGTCTACTCCATCACGTGGCACTGATAACGTTCGACGACCACAATATGAGTTGTGAGTAGCTGACTACAGGTCGTGTCAAGCCATTTCTAAAAGCATCGTCCTGGACTCGGCCATACCCAATTAGCAGAGCTTTGCTTCTGCCCCCCGGCGTGATTCCGAAGTCCTTTGAATATGTGCACCAGATCCTGCTATTGTATTGCTCGGAGCAGGCCATGCTCTCTGAAACGGGCCACCTAGTCTCCTCCTCACGACATCCGTCTTCGGAAACACGTGCAGGACCCCGCGTGCTACGGAGATGTTCTCGAATCGATGATCGTGCGTCTTCACTGCGGCCTCATCCATCAAGCACCTGCAGCTGCCAGCTGCAGCTAAGCAAGAGAGCTCAACTGATGAAAATTCTAGGCACTAGGCACCTCTTGCATGCTGACTGAACTAAGTATTTTGCTGCTTTCGTCAACGAACACACTGAACATTCCTGCAAAGGATACCGATGTCGAGGCCAACAGAGTTTCCAGCAAATATTAGGCTTCTTGATCACTCATAACACCTTGGTGGCATGTGTGTTAAAGAGCAGGTGTTAGAGACCTTTGTCTCTTGCGTGTCTCAGCTTTCCGTTGCAAACCCTCTCGTTTACTACAGCCGGGGGTGCTCTATCTATCGGAAGAAGGGCGGTCCAGCATATTGTGCCGTCATGGTCGTGTCGACTCTGCCGACACCTTACAACCAACAGACCTTTCGCACTCGAACCGAAACCTCGAGCATCTTTATCTGAGCTCACCTGGGCTGTGCGGCACGATCGCAAGCCGAGGCGATCAAGGCGATCGGTTCCCAACAGCCTGGATTGGTGAGGGCAGATGTCTTTTTGTCATGCGGCACCTCCCACAAGAGTCCTCATGTACGTCAGAAGTATTGTTCAACTTCGGCATCAGTACAGCTGCAACGTGCTTCAAAAACTGACCGGGTCAAAGTGCGCTCTGTTTGCCGCATCCAGTGACCCTGACAGAACCTCGAGCCTTCCGGGCCCTACAGTGGCATGGTTTCTCGCTGGGAAAGATTACCACGACCCGAACACATGCAGTGAAGAACGTGAAGGGCAGCGCACCTCAGGGAGCCGGCGAAAAGGCGCGCAGATGCCTCGGCATTCGCTTCACTCTGCACAGGCTGTCAACTGTGAGGGGCCAAAGTCCGGAAAACCAAGTCGAATTCGCCGCCAGCACTCAGTCAGAAAAGGACGGAGCTTGAGGAAAACTGACGGAACTGTACTGTGCACTTTCTGCAGGGCCTTGCCGTGTGGCACGGCTTCGGTGGCAAGCTTTAAAGGCCTAGGCCGACGGGCACGGTGTCCGCTGGCATTCAGAATTGATTGTGAGAAGCTTTGTTCTACAGATGTTGTGGCCAAGCTACGGCGGGAAGGCAAATTTCAGGTCCAGTGCTTGAGGTTCACTCTGGACCGTGGCAACTTCGTTCATGCATTGCTTCGATCTGTCAGGTAGCTCCTTTCACAAGCAGTGTTCAGCCGGCTTTCAGCCTCACCAAATCGGGATGAGGACGGAGCATAGAGCTGGAGACCATGACTCTGATTTTGGACTTCCCCACCTGAGGTCAGGTGCTCCTATGCCGACACTCACCAAAGCTATCAGCAAGTGAAATTATCTCTTAGCCCAGGCTGCGCCTGAACGATCAGAGCCTTGCGCCGGAGCCCCCCACGGGCAGCCACCTCAAGTTGGGCCGCACATCACAAATCAGGGTGCATCAAGGGTGACAAGCTGCCAACAATAACTTGCGTGGCACATACAATACGCCTGCACTTGGAGCAGCAAAGTGGCAGTGCTGCCATTTCCAACCGGTAACGCTACACTATCAGTTGTGCCGCCCGCGACATGATTGCCTTTCAGGATATCGCCTGTGGCTTCGCCGTAGGTTGCAAGATTTCATCAACGTTTACCGACACTCGGGCTTCGGTCTTTCGGACTTCCGGCCGAAGCCCGAACAGCGTCAGAGTTGCAAGCTGCTAAGTCGCACCTCAGGAACCGACCTTTTGCTTGAAGCGCTGAAAGCTGTAGCGTGCGGCTTGTACACTCACAGTCGGACAGGGCAGCGGCCTTCAGGCACCAGGATTTTATATACAGTCATACAGTGAGTCATACATGTCATACGGTGTTCTCCAGCTCTTCGATTAAGCGTAGGGCTTCGCACAGCCCGCCTGCTGACAGAAGCTGCACTTGCACGGATACTGCACACCTGCCCAAGGACAACGGCCTATTGATCCGATTGGTTTTCAGGCAAATAAATCATTCCTCGGGGCGTCTCCTCCAGATTCTGAAACAAATGGTGCATCAACTGCTGGCAACTAGTTGCTGACACATCTCAGATTGCTTCGGGTTACCGCAGCTGCTGCGAATAAAAAAACTGCCTGCGCCGGGAGTGGAAATGCCAAGGCACGAAGATACTCCTCCTCCTGCAACATGCTGAATGCACGACACTACAAGCGCTTGTAGGGACGGGGTGAGGGTCATCAACAACATGCACAGGCACTGCGCGAAGTGCCAAACTATCAAGTTGAAGATGTTCAAGGAGCAAGGTCCTGCGGGGACAAGGACGTCGATTTCTGCGGGTTGGAATACGTAAAGAACACCTCCGCATTGAAATCAAGGCCAGTTTTGCAGGATTTCGTGAGTGGTATAGCCATCCTTGTCCACTTGGAAAGCTTGCGGCTGCTTTGGACTATCACTCTATGGTTCAGCCATTGAAGCCAATCAGAAAATCAGGTGCTTGATCTCTTGCACCCATCTTCTGGATCACGGAGAAGGAATCGTTCCAACTGCGACAATCCAGATCACATCAGCCTTCGAAATGGATCACGAAGAGGCTGTTCACGTCGCTGGAGCTAAGCCGGATGGATTAAGACTCAAACGAACTGCTTTAGCCATGTAGATCAAGGGCAACCAACGGCCAACGAAGGTTCCACAGTCCTCCAAGATGCGACTTCTGGCATCCGAAAACGGGAAAGTAGAGTGGGACCGTCATGTTTCTGAACCAACAGTTTGCTCAATCAACTTGATTCACAGGCTCAATTCCTTGGAGTATGCGACGGCTAAAGCAGGGCACCGGGCAGTCAGATTGCAAACATCGACGACATGCCACAGGGCTAAATTAATCTAACTCAACAAAAAGGGACACAGAGGATGAACAAAGTCTACAAAGAGTCTTCGGTCGCCAAATGTATGTCCCATAAATATGACCGAAGACCCTGCACAACAAGCAAGGGTCCTTTTAAATAGCTCCGCCACGTACTTACTCAAAAGTAAGAACTAATATAGCATCAGAATTTGCGGGCAAGGATTTGTGATAAAGGCTCCATGTTTTGAGGCACAGACCAGAGTGTATCTGCGCCCACGAAAAGGTGTTACCTGACGCCAGGCTAGGACGGATCGCCCAAGCGACTCGTGCGGGGCAAGAGCTCAGGTCGGCGCACAATGTGGCTTGCGACCATCGAATTTCAACCATTTTCGCCTGAGCACACCCAGCAATTTCTGAGTTGAGGCCCAACCCCAGCCTGTGCTGGGAACTGCACCGTACGTCGTTTGCGCGGCCCATTTCTCCATCCGTGTCCATCCAAAGCCATCCACCAGTGTAGTTGCCTGCCAAGGCGAAGACAATAACTCTGTTGGCGCTTGCCAGAATCACTATGAACATCGTCATCAGCAATCAAACCATCACCACAGCGACTATCATCATCGGCCTCCTCCTCCTCCTCATCCATGTCACCCATCATGACACTCGTCATATATTTCATCGTTGTACTCGCCACCACGACACAACCGCCGACACCGCTTTGGCATCAAAAACTGATGTCCGGATTCGGATCGATCTTCCACTTCGTGCCCGCATGATTTCATTGAAAACACATCCCCTTCATTCGTTCCAGGCGCAGCAAGCGTACAAGGCCTTGTTTCTGCCGAAGACTTCTTGTTTGATTTGATTTGATTTGAGGGCCCACGAAGGACGGTCCTGCAATGTACAGTTAGTTGGACGTTCCAAAAAGTCTCCCTCCTTTTGGCTTTGGGTTTTGGTTTCTTTTCTGCTTTAAAAGGCTGTCACCCCCTCAAGGGTCGAGGTCCTTGCACCTTGGAGAGTCTCAATTTCTTTACCACTCTTCACTGGATCTGCAAACAGTTATTTGCTCTAGTTGCAACGACAAAACACCGCCGACGCCGCCAACAACACAGCAAACAAACAACACACAGCAAACAATGAACACCAAACAACAACACAACAACACGACAACCAACAAAAAACAAAAAACAAACGGCAAGCAGCAACCCCAACACGGAACAACCACCACAACAACAACAACAACAACAATTTTATTGAATGCTGAGTCAGCGGGCTCTGCTCGTAACGGGCGATTCAGATACTTCGGAATGTGCCGCAACCCAGCGCCGTCCACAGTATCAGACCTGCCGACATCCTCAGCGAAGACATGATATGCCTATTGAGGCAAACACATGACAAGAGTGAGGCCTGGGTAACTACCACTGCATACAGCACAGTGCAATCATGCAACAACAGCAACAGCAACGGTGCAGCAGCAACAACAACAACAACAACCAACAACCAACAAACGACCAACAACCAACAAACAACCAACAACCAACACCCAGCAGCCAACACCCAACACCCAACAACCAACAACCACCAACAGCCAACAACCAACCAACAGCCAACAGCCAACAATCAACAACGAACAACAAACAACAAAAAACAACCCACAAACAACAACCGACAACCAAGAACCAACAAACAACAAACAACAGGCAACAAACAACAAGCAACAAGCAGCAGCAGCAGCAGCAGCAGCAGCGGCAGCGGCAGTAGCAACAACTACATCAACAACAACAACAACTACTACTACTACTACTACTAT